CTATCTCTGCTTCTGTTTCCTCAGCTCCGAAAGCTGTCCCATTGGGCTACGGTGAGGAGTCAATGAGGAATTGACTTGAAACACTGAGTACCCAGAATATAGCGAATGATCCTGAAGGATTGTACGTTATCTTTCATTTAGTCTAGAAAGGTTAAGGTCAAGGTTGTAGAATAAGATAGCTCTAAATCCTCAAAGTTTGTGGACAAAGCTGTACGAGCCAAGCCTCCATAGAAAACCTTCCTTGTGGCAATGGAATAACAACACTGCTTCTATTCGAATGCATTTCTCGTGTGTGTTTTGTTTCATTTAGGTTTTTAATCTGTTTAAGGGAAGAGAGTCTCTCCTGGGCTACTGCACACATTAGATACTAGGAAGTTGTTTGTAGATGGCTACCATTCACCCTGATAGCACATAGAAAGAGAGAAACAGCTTCACCGAAAACCTCCTATGACCAAAGAGTCTCTGTACAAGAATTAGATATTTATTAATTCATCATTTGGTAAAACCTCACCCCCAACTCCCAGACCTTGAGTCTCAAACTGGTTGTCTTGTTCTAGACCAAGGGTCCTCAGCTCTCAGGCTACAGACCAGTACTGGTCCATGGCCTGTCAGGAACTGGGCCGCACAACAGGAGGTGAGCGGCCAGAGAGCGAGCACAGCTTCATCTGTATTTGCAGCCACTCCCCAGCACTAGCGAGACAGGATATCACTTGTAAAATTCTTAATCTTTTAGCAGGAAATGAAGTGGGACATCTCTGGCAGAGTTAATCTTTTTAGTAAACCTAGTTAAGTTTTCTTCCCTCCTTTCTTTGGAAAAAGGGCCTCTCCCTCAAATCTTGATAATTGCCCTGGCGATTCAAATCCTCTGGCTATTGATAAGGGTCATCAGCCCATCTTTAAGAAGAAATGGTGTTAAGCCAGGCAGGGCCCTTAGAATCTCAAGGGGAGGGGACTTTAAGCCAAAGGTCTTTCTTTTTCCTCTTTAAGAAACGTATTAACCAAGCCTGTTTCTCTTTACTCACTTAATAGAAAAATCAATAAAGAAATTAATAGATGTATGATTTAAATAACAAGTGTGTGTTTTCTTTTCCTTGTCTAGGAACTGAGGTGGCACTTCGGCAGGAAACCCAAGACCAACCCCACCCTGACTGGGGCAGAAAGGAAAAGAGCTCCATGAAACCCCAGCAGGCAAGGACTATAGCCATTCTCAGCCGGAAGCAGATACGGAAGAAGAGACCGCCTGTCCCTCAACATCCATACTAATAATAAGAGGGTTCATGGCTCTTAGAAGAGAGGTAGGCAGGAAGTTAGTTAGGGGGTTTCGGGTCTGCCTGCAAAGACACTGAGGTCATCCTATCTCAGAAGGGGTCCGCCCTAATCTGCCCTCAATTAAGCAAGCCAGAAGGCGTTTTTTTTTTTTTTTTTTTTAACTCACACAAAGAAACCAGTAGGCAGAAATTAGCTATCAGTTTAAGCTAGTCACTCGCACCTGTGCAATGAAGACCTCAAAGACCTTCAACTCACCTGAGTCTCATTGTACCATCATAATATATATATATACCCGGAAGTTCATTAATATCATTGACAGACTGAATTCTGGGAACAAACATGCACAGAAAGCAAAATAATGAATCACTGAGTCCTGTCAATCTTCACTGTCAATCACGGAAGCCCACTCCTCTAAGAAAAGTAAGCATTCACAGCAAAAATGGGATAAAAACCCTGAAGGCTTTGTTACCAGGCCTTTTGAGCCATGCTTCTCTTGCTAAGGCCCGCTTCCACGTCTGGAAGTGTACTTTCCCTTCTAACAAAACTTTTATTTTCTATTGTATTTTGGTGTCTTGCTCAATTCTTCGTTCGAGACATCAAGAACCTGGACGACATGCTGAGAGAGGGCCCCAATCTCCGATAACACTAGAATCACCGCCTCAGCTCCACCTCAGATCATCAGGCATTGGATTCTCATAGGAGTGCCGGTCCCTGGTGCCAAAATGGTTGGGGACCGCTGCTCCACACCATAGCCAAGTGTTGCTTGCCCAGAACATTATTTTAACTTTGAATGTTAATGCCTTTAAGTGGACACAACACATTCCACGTTGTTACAGGCCACATCGCTTTCCATCACCCCACTCATTTGTATCAGCTGCCTGGTTTCTGAAGTCATAGGCATCTGTCAACCTAGCCTTCTTCTGGGGTGCTGCTTCTCTGCCCCAGTGTGGAAGTCAGAGATAGGAATCTCAGATCTGCATTTAGAACAGATACCTCTGCCACAACATGGAGAACAAACTGGATAGAGAAAGAAGTGAGGTTGTGCTGGCTGGAAAATTACTGCTTGGCTATCGCCCATGGGAACATAGGCTATCACCCATGGGAACATAACAGTCTAACAATAAGCTTTCTGCTTCTGTACCCCCGCTTGCACAACCGACTTGTGGGTTGACAGGTAGTGAATAGGAGAAAAATAGACCTTTATGTTTAAGACAGAATGAGGAATGGGATTTAGGGCTTAAAAACCCTGTACCTCTACATTTCAGGGCTGCTTAATTTGGGGTCTGCATACCCCTGGCAGACCCAGCTGGCTGAATAAAGAGCGTGTTTCCTATAACTCACTGAATTCTGGTGGTCCGTGTGTCTTTCGGGGGCTGGCGGCTACAACAAGGTTAATGAGCATAGTCAGGAAGCTGCTGCAGGAGCCCAGGTAGAAAGCAATGCTATCTTCTGTGCAGTCTGTGCCATCGACCTACTTCCACCTGGACCTTTGCCTGTTGCAGCTGGAAACTCCCCACCTGGTGTGTGGCCACACCCGCCACCAGAGCTCTGGGTAAAAGAGAATCTTTTCTTGAAATCTTAATCCCCCTTTTAGGCATTATTACACTACAATAGTTCTTAAACTTTAACATGCACCCAAATCACCTGGAGGGCCTGTTAGAACACAGATTGCTGGGTTTCCCCATTTACAAGAGTTTCTGATATGGTAGGTCTGGGGTGGGGACAAGAATTTGTATGTCTAACCAGTTCCAGATGATTTTGAGGCTGCTGGTCTGAAGTGCATAGTTTGAGAAACACTGAGCTAAAGCAGTGGTTCCTAGGATCTGGCTGCACAGTAGAACCACTTGGGGCATTACAAAAAAAAAAAAAATTCAGATGCCCAGGCCACACCCTAGACCAATTACAGAAGAATCTCTTAAAGAGTGGGACTCTGGAATTGGCATTTTAAAAACTCTCCAAGTTAATTGCAATGTACAGCTAAGATTAATAAGAACTACTAGGTGAGAGGCTCCCAGAGGCCATTATCAGTTCTAAAATACTTTGATTACTCATTTAAATGTTTCTTATTCTGACCAAGGAGCTTCAGGAATATACTAGGGAAAAGACTGAAGATGCCCCTCTTGTAAAAACAGACAGATATTTATTGAGTTTACTTTCTGTTTAGGAAGTATATGCCTTCTTCTTTTTCTAGTCAGACCCAAGTTAATAATGGCACTGATGGTGGTGGTGGTTCAGGTCATCAGGGAGCATGAGCTAAGTGTGGGAGGGGTGTATCATTGACTCACAAAATATTAGAACCTGACTATTACACAAAGTCATCTAGTCCAACTCCATTTTTCAGATGGGGAAACTGAGGCTCTGAACCTGCCTCTAAATCCATTTTCCCACTCAGTTTTCACCTTTGAGTTTAGCACACTCGTCAAGTCATTCCAGTGTCTTAGGCTAACATGGAGGAGCAAGTCAAGCCAAAACAAGAAGCTACCCACATGCTGCTTGTTGCTTCCTTCACTTAAGCCCAACCTGACACTCTGCTCAGCACCCAAAGAATGAGCCAGAAGACATGCTGCTCTTGGCAGGTTGTTTTCCAAGGGCTCAGGTGAGAGGAGGATTTTTTTATTAACTGCTAGATCCATGCGAGGAATCTACAGGCTGTGCTAGTAAAGTAATGAGACTAATTTTTTCCTCTCTTAAAAGTGATGTCGAGAGGGTAGAAATACAAAAGGCAGTTTCTTTGAGAGACTGTGTGCTTATTTCATTATTGCTGCTATTGCCCTAAACATACCAGAAGTATAGGAGGGAAATTGCTTTCAGGTCTGATTGACTTTCCACATCTCTGCCCAACCAGAGGCCTTTTTCACTCTTACACATTCTTTCCATCCATTCCTTCAACAACTGTTTGCTTTAATCCATCTCCCCCAGTTCTTCGTGCTACTAGCTATTAAAATTTTTAAATAACTCTGTTTCTAATGAGGACCTCATTTCCATGAATTACATTTAGGGGGACTGATCTGGGCTGCCTTACTGTTACATCCATGTGCTGGCCCTGGTCACATGTCCACGTCATTCACCACATTTTGTTTGATGGACTCATTTCCAAAATTAAATTCCTCGAGGAAGAATTAAAATGTGACACTATGGTCATCTCTAAGGACACCCAAATGTGAACAGAAAAGAATAGAAACCCAAGAAGTTTTAGCGGAGAGTCAAGATTGTGGTGCAGTTCCACGTTATTTCCTGCATTACTGATGACGTCCAGGCCCGGGGCTGCTCCTGCCAAACCCAGAGGGGCCACTGAACTCTGAATGTTTGACACAAAAAAAGGAGATAAATACATGCCAGGCAAAGGCAAGTAGGATCCGGAAGGGACCAGAAATTGTGTCCCAGAGGCAAGGCGATTCAGGTGAGACATAGGGTTCTCCTTCCAATATCTGGAGCACTACTAGGTAGAAGAGAGTTTAGACACATTCCGTGTAAGCACAATGAGTTCAACTAGGACCCACTGGCAGATGCTATCTGGAGAGAGACACTGTTTTACATATTTCTAAGTCTCGGAACTGTCCTGAGATTAAATGAACTCCCATAGGTGTGGTGATGAACTCACCATCAGTGAAGGGTTCGAGCATACTGGGAAGATTACTTAACAGTGATGCTACAGAGGAGATTAAAGCACAGAGCAGAGAAGATGTGGCCTCTAAAGTACCTTTCATTTGCGAAACTAAAGCAAGGCTGGCTCAGTAACACCAATGGAATAGATTGACTTTTTTAAAACAGACAAACAAACAAACGTTCTAAGACTTATTTTAACAATTCACACATCATGCCTCTGTCTTCAATCCTAAGAAAAAATGGCACATTAGAGTGCGAAAAGACCATCTTCATCTTCTCTTCCATGCTGTATGTCATCTAGGACATCTTTATTTTCTTCAACGTTGTCTAGCCTACAAAGAGAAAAGAGGCTGATAATGGGAACCACCAAGACCGGAAGTAAATGGATGCTGCTAAATTACAACCCAACTAAGGCTGTTAGAGTTAAAAGTGCTCAGGGTTCATGCAGTCCAAGCCTCTCATTTCAGATGGGAAAACTGAGGCCACAGGGGACAAAAGGCTTTTGCTATTCTGTCCTAAGAGGGAATTTAGAAGTTTCTATATTAGAAAATATAAAATCATGATCTAACTGTTTATTTACAAAAAAAAAGATCACCAAGTATGACCTTAGAAAGTCATCTCATTGAGCCTCGGTTTCTCTGAAAGCTTGTTAATATTTATTTGTTAGCAGATAGTGTAGCATTGATGCAATCATTAAGCAAAGGCAAGGTCTTCATCATGGTTTACACCAAATCTTTTCATCTTTTCCAAAAAGTTATAGAACAAGATAGATATCCGAAAATCCTTTCGTAGGGTCTCTTCAAACTTAAAAAAAAAAAAAAAGACCCGAAAACCTATGGTCTAACTGTGCAGAGGAAGCCATATTCCAAGAATGCTAGTCCACTTTTTTTTCATTTTCCATACTTCCATCTCTTCATTAACTGTAGTTTAACAATGTCCTTTTAAAGTGAGTTGATCAGATTTGAACAAAGAATTTCTAGCAGAGAATAGAATGATATATCACCTTCTTTCTTTTGTATGCCATACTTCTATTAATGCAACCTGCCTTTGTATTTGCACTTTGGACAAACATAATAGTGTTAACCAAGACTGAGGTTAGGGTGAGCTAAATCTCCATGTCTTTTTCACCTCTAATGTCCCATCTCTTCAACCCTGTATTTAATCAGAACACAAGCACAAGTCATTAAACCACTGAGTAGTGGCTAATCATTTGTAACAGCTTGTACTATCATTACAGCGATCAGTCATGCAAGATGAATTACCTTGTGTGTTTCTGGAAGCAATTGGTTTTCATGACTTTCCCTGAAAAGACAAGGCCACAGTATAAGCCGAGTGCTATGCAAGAACATTTGAAATGCTGGGGGAAGCCCAAAACTACCTTATAAAGAAAAGAGGTGCTCCAAAGGTGAGAATTTAGGAACTGGCTTTGGCAGGGGAAGCCATTCCTTCTCCTGGATCAGATGACTGCATCTTTCGGCTTCTAGGCAGTGCCCACCAATTACAAAGTTGTTCCAACATCATAGGCAATGATGTTAAGCTGCTTTACTTTTGAGTCATTTGCCCACCCAGAATGGATTGAAAACATTTCTTTATGAGATGTTCCCAGAATTTCCAAAACCGTGACATGCCTTCGTGTGAGGGCTAATGACAGGCTTCCACTAAGTTCCAAACTCACCAGGGGCAGGTTTTGAAATACATGTTTCACTATGTTGCTCAAACAGGCTGAGATGGTCTTATCTCCTCTCTTACTTCCTTGGGACAGTTTCCATTAACAACTACAGAACAATTTTTATCCCCATTTTACAACAGGACCAGGAGCACATACCTATACCTCGCATGAAAACTATAAACTCTGCTTCTTTACTTCTTTTTTTTTTCAATGTTTTAAAACTTCTTTTAAAGCATGGGGGAGAGCGATGAAGTGCAAGGTCATGGATCAGCTAGAATCTAATGACAACTATGGACTCTGCCTTTGAAAAATGCAGGTAAAAACATAAAAGTACTTTTGGACATGATGTCGAGGGATTCATTTGTCCCCTAAGTTCTATCTGTGGACCCTAGGTTAAGAAAGCACGTTTTAAGAGAACAAATAAGAGGACCGGGGGCTATTCATGGCTTTCTTCCTGGGGCAATCCTAGCCAGAGGAGGAGGCTGAGCTAGGGTTTCTTCCACCCCAAAACAGTGACAATAGTCACACTTTCCCCTATGGCAGTAATGACCTCGGAATGAGTTAGGTGCCTCAAGTGTAGCCTCAAGACTGACACATAATACTGTCCAACAAATGAAACGCTCTTATTTTTTTTTCTTTTCCAAAATATAACTCTGTCAGGAGGATGATACAGAATTCTTTAGCACCTTAGAGAAAATGAGTTTACCTGTCACCTCTTTGACCAGGATGGGGACAACAACAGAACTTGGACTCTGGGGAATGGAGAAAAGGGGCAGGGAAGCAGAATCAATCTACTCCTGCATCCTCCTGGGGTCTCCACAGCTCTAAAAGGCCCCATCCCAACTGGTCCTGCCCTCCTTACCTCGAAGGAAGAACGCCACAGTCAGTACACACAGCACGAACCCCAGGGAGGGAACAATGATCATCAGCAGGTCAGAGTTGTCAGCCATTATGCTCTGGTGAGACACAGGGAAGAGCATTGGGCCACCTGGAATGCCATCCGTACTGAGTTTCCCGTCCCAACCATACTTTCCGATGACCAGCAGCTTCACTGCTCCTAACTATCTTTTGCCCAATGTGTCTAAAGATCAAAACAAAGCTAACCTTACAAATCAAAAAACAATTTTTTTTTTCATCTCTGAAATCTTGAAACATTTTATCCAGACCCTCAAATTTTCCTAAATCTTAGACATCAGGCAGGCACATGGGCTGCAGGGATCCGATGGTAAAAAATTACTGCTGCGAGCGGTGTTCTCCATTATCAAGTCACTTTGCTGGCCATCACCTAAATCCTCTAAGGGCTAAGCTCTCCCTAGCCCTGTGCAGTTCTTCTCAGGGCTGACTTAGCCATCTATAGGCAACAAGATTAAAGAGAAAACAGACCTCAATTTCACATTTTCTACAGCAGTGGTTCTCAAAGTGTGGCCAAGGGATTCATGAGATTAAAATGGCTTTCATGAGACATTATGTTCTATTTTAACTGTCATTCTCTCACGAGATGTACGATGGAGTTTGTTTCCTAGAGGTTACGTGACGTGTGATGTGAGGATCTCATCGCTCTGATGATGGAATATGTAAGCAGATACTTTCCGTCTGTCTCCTATTAAGCCAGACTCTGAGATTTGTAAATATAAAACGATGCCACTTTTCTCACTAATGTGTTTCCATTTGGCAAAATGTTAGTTATTTTTCATAAAAATGCACGTTATTTATGTTAATGTGTAATGGGTTTGTTATTTTTTTGTAAATGAATAAATATTGTTTATAATTTCTCAGTTTTAATTTTAATGAGTATAAAAGGGTCTTGACACCAAACGGTTTGAGAAGCACTGCTTGGCAGGCAGCACCCAGCCCTTGTGGGGGCTACACCATATCCCACTGCCCAGGCCATGCTCCATTCCCTGTCACATTCGCCAACACAGCAGCAAGGACAGGAAAACAATCTCTCTGAGGAGAGAAAAGAGGAAAAAGAAAGAAGAGATGGGGGACCTTCACTTTCCTTTATAGATGTCTATACCGCCTGAAGTTTTTACTTAATGCGGCTTGAATCACTTTGTAATGATAAACATTAATGAAGGGTACTCTCAAAAAATCAGAGGAACCCTGGTGGCATCTGTCGATTCTGCAAGGTGTTACCAACCCCAGGCCACACAGAAAGGAACACACAGTGGTTTTCCATGTTTTTGTATTTTTTTTTCTTTTTTCTTTTCAAAGCATCTGCACATATAGAAGTAACAATATCAACATTATTTCTGCCAAAAGTACAAGTATACAAATTTCTTAGCTATTTCAGAACAGTCATGATGCATTTTGCCACTTAGATATATCTGCTCTCCCTAGTCCATTTCTGCAAACCTCTACTGTAGATTTTAAACATCTTGGTCATATACTTCAAATACGTTGCAAAAATGTTTACCTGTCCTATTTCGACTTTATTTTGCTCAACAGTTGCCGTCTCAGATGCTGGGAAGAAAAAGAGAAGAAATGTTTACATTTCCTGTGGGAGAATAAAATACCGCATTGTGAAATAGGCATTTGAAAGCTTATCTGGAATGTCACTTGATGTGCTTAATCTTCTAATCTCATTTTTAAATACAATTCGTTATGATATGGTTTTATCTAAAAGCTCATCTGCTACCCAACATTATCCCACTGGAACATGCCCATTTTACAGATAGGTAGAGTGAGGCGTTAGGCCAGCAGGCAATGGGGTCTAAGTTTTCTGTAGGCCCCAGCAATGCATTCAGGATTTTTATCCAGCAAGAAAATTTGTCATCTATCAGTTAACAAATATTTATTGAATATTATTCATAGGCCATGCACTTATTCTAGCTGTACCATTGACCTTGTTAATGAAATTTACAACTTAGTGCAGAAGACAAAATTTAAACAAATAAAGTGAATAGTTGAAAAATAATTAGTTACAATTATGCAAAATTCTGAGAAGAAATAGTATAAGGTACCATAGGGACATACCCCGAGGATGGCTGCCCTCTCATGGGTGGTCAAGGAAAGCGTCCTTGAGAATGTGGAGTTTAAGCCAAGACATGGAGTCATTTATACTGATTGTTGAGTTCAACAAGGGAAACACACTGAGGCTCTACCAAGTGCTAAGCACTGTTCTAGGCACCAAGAATGCTGGGATGCCTTTGGCATGGTGCCACCCTCACAAAATTTATAGTACATTAGAGAAGGGAGACCAGAAGTTTATTCTAGCCTAACAGGCCAAGGGTAATGATGGAGTGTGGACAAGCTGCTGGAGAGGGTGGGCAGAGGAAGAGGCACATAAGGCAATGCCATAGTTTAGTGAGAACTATTGGAATTAAGCTCCATGAGGACAGTGCCCCTTTTTACCTGCTCAACAATGGGACCCCGACACTGCCTGGCACATACTTGGTGCTCAGTAAATGTTTGTCGAATGAATAGCACCTGAACTGAGTTAAGGTTGTATAAGAATTAGCAAAGAAAGATGGTAAAGGCCTTTTAGGCAGAACAGCATCAGCAAAGCTATGAAAGCATGAAACAGTTTGGTTCCATGTCAAACGGCAAGCAGCTGTGAAGATATAAAATGAGGAATTGGGAGTGGCAGGGGACAGATTGAAGTGGCAGGAACCAGGCAAAGAAGGCCTTTTTTGTGTGTGTGCCGGTAAATCTCTGTTTAATTCTGTAAGAAGTGGGAAACCACAGAAATGTTTTGAGCATGTCATGGTCCAGTTAGGAGGATGAGGATTGATCAGCCAAGATGGGATTATCATTTGCTTCTGGGTCTGAAATTCAGAGCTAGTAGAAATGAAGAGAGAGATTCTAGAAATACCTGAGGGAGATCAACAGAATATGGACATTGAATATGGGGATGAGAAAGAGACAATAGTCTCAGATAACTCACAGGTTCCTATCCGAGATGCTGATTCATTGCCTGACTATCCCTAAGACCGGGGACAGTAGAAACAGAGCAGAAAGGTACATGTGGGAGGGAAAGGTGACAAGTTCAAATTTAGAGTCATTGCACGTAAGGTACCTGAGGGAGACACGCAAACACTATTCGCCTAACAAGTCGTTGATGGGTTTGAATCTGAATCAAGATTTAGTTGGAGATACTGATTTGAGAGTCATCGGTATCCAGGGAACAGTTAAAATCCTCAGAGTGTATAAGAAATCCAAGGACCACATGTCCAGACAGAGAAAAACAGGCATCCTGAAAAACCTAGCTCTTAAAAGGCAGAGGAAGCAGAGAAAGAAGCAGAAGAAATGGACAGAAAATGAGAGCGGTGTCACAGAAATCAGGGCAGGAGAAAATGTCCAGGAAATCCAAGAAAGATGCAAAATCATATGTGCAATAAACTCTTCTGATAGAAACAATATAATGCCGCATATAGATAAAGCCTGAAGAGAATATCTAAAAACCTAGCTCTTAAAAGGCAGAGGAAGCAGAGAAAGAAGCAGAAGAAACGGACAGAAAATGAGAGCGGTGTCACAGAAATCAGGGCAGGAGAAAATGTCCAGGAAATCCAAGAAAGATGCAAAATCATATGTGCAATAAACTCTTCTGATAGAAACAATATAATGCCGCATATAGATAAAGCCTGAAGAGAATAAATATCTAGGCTAATAAATACTGAAACTGATCATTTCCCCCAAGTTTCCACATACTCAAGGCAAAAGGAGAAATGTGATCAGTTTTGTAAGGCTCACAGTTTGGTACAAGAGAGCTTATTTGTTGGACAAGAAAAGTGACTTGTTGAATGCCTAGGAGCATAAACCTCCAAGGGAGAAATTCAGCATGTTTTCAAATCCTAACTCAGTTATGGTTGTTTTTCTCTCTGCTATTATCCCTTAGAGCTAGAAATTGCAGGTAAGAATTTAAAACTCCTACCCCTTTTCTGTCAAAATCTTGTTGTATTACAATCATCTGTGATGGATAAGCCTGAAATTGAAACTATCAAAGAGAAACACCAGCCTGGGTCAGTTTTGTCAGAGCTAATCTGTATTTTAAATTGGAACCGTCAAACGGCAAAGACATCTTACAAACACAAACACTGCCAAGTGATACCTAGCAGCCCTTTTTCTTCTTCTTTCTCTTCAGAAAATGCCAAAAGCCCCAGTGGGAAGCACTGCAAGGGCCACAGTGTTATACACCAAATAGCAACGAGAAACACAAATCGATGGTGTCTTCCTCCTCGTGAAAAGTGGTGGTGCTGAAGGGGCGGAGGTGAGACAAGTCAAGACTATTGGTTTCCTTGTCTGTTGTCTGTGCTCTCCTGGCCTCTACATGCTCAAGGCCCTGGATTTTGATACTATAAATACCTTCAGGCAAAGGCAGGAGCCCCCTAGAACTTTCAAGATAAGCGATTCCGTAAGAAGGAAATTGTAATGGGTTAAATATTGTCCCCCCGAACCCCGATCCCATCGTGTCCACCTGGAACCTCAGATAATGATCTTATTTAGAAATGGGGACTTTGCAGATGTCATTAGCTAAGGATCTTGGGATGAAATAATCCTAGATTTAGAATAGGCCCTAAATCCTATGGCTGGTGTCCTTATAAGAAGAGGCTACAAAGAGAGACACAGAGAAAGTCATGTGAAGACAGACAGAAATTGGAGTGATGCTGCTCCAAGGAGTCCTGGGGCGCTAGAAGCTGGAAGGGGCAAGGAAATGTTCTCCTCTCCAGCCTTGGGAGAGAGTTCGGCCCCCATTGACAACTCGATTTCAGGCTTCTAGACTCCAGAACTGTGAGAGAATAAATTTCTGTGTTTTAAGCCATCTGCTTTGTGGTACTTTGTTACGGCACCCCAGGGAAACTAATATGGGAATTAAAGGGAATTGATACACAAAAGATGAGAGTGGCCTTTGATGGGGGTAACCAGGCCTAAGAAAGAGTCAGAAATGGGTGCTGAGCACAGGTAAGAAGACTAATTCCAATCGAAGGGCCTAGCATTGAACTCAAGAGTATTAACCTAATGCCATATTATTACGAACATTCTGTTGAACACTTACTCCTCAGGAGCAACCCTGTGAGGCAGACACTACCGCATACTGCCAGTCAAAAGACTGAGGCTCAGAGGGTTTAGGAACATGATCCAGGTCAGACAGGTTGTAGATAGTGGAGCTGGGATTTGAACCCGTCTGATTGACATCAACACCTGTGCTCTTAAGGACCTCATTACCCTGGAGCTGAAGCACGACTGTACCATGTACATAGCATGGTATGCAAGAAGGATGTAAGAAGAAATGTTTGGTACCATGATTTGCATTGAATCTAGAAAAGGGATGGAACAGAACAGTAGTCTCCAAGGAGGGCTCGGTGCTCACCCTGAGTGGGCAAGGCCGTCCACTGGGCGTGGGGAAGATGAGCGCATCTATTTATATTTATTTAAATTTCACCCTTTAAACATTTATTTGGGAGGGATACATTTCAAAATGTATATATTAATATGAAAGCATATGAATAAATTATCAATAAATGTTTTACTAAGAAGAATACATCTCGTATAGAGAAGGATGAGTCATTTGTCTCTCAGTTTGGAGACTATGTTGGGCAGAATAATGACACCTGAAGGTGTCTACAACCTAATCTTCAGAATGTGTGAATATATTACCTTAAAGGGCAAAAGAGATTTTGCAATGTAATTATTAAGTCAAGGATCTTGAGATGGGAAGACTATCTTAGATCATCCAGTGAGCCCAGTATAATCAGAAGGATCTTTTTAAGAGGGAGGCAAAATGTCAACTTTGAGTATGTGATGATGGAAGAAGAGGTCAGAGAGAGAGAGATTTGAAGATGCTCAATTGCTAGCTTTATAGATGGAAGAAGAAGCCCCAAGCCAGGGAATGCAGGCCATTAGAAGCTTGAAAATTTGGTAAAGAAATAGATTCTCCCCTAGAGAATCCAGAAGGAATGCAGCCCTGCCAACATCTTGATTTTAGGACTGCTAACCTCCAAAACTGTAAGGTGTAATAAATCTGTGTTATTTTAAGCCGCGATGTTTCTGGTAATTTGTTATAGCAGCAACAGGGAACTGATACAGACATGCTGGTCACTAAGATGCTCCAAGAGAGCAGTGGCTCTGGGGATGGGCGCAAGGGATGAAAGGAAAACCGATATCATTTAATAGTTTTTGTATGCTTTGTACATTTGCCATGTAATGCATATTATCAATTTTAAATTAATTGAAATGTAATAACAACAATGAAAGAATCTTAAAATCAATCACACTTTTCCCAGGTTCATGTACTATTCACCAATACTTCTGCTTAATATTAGATTTTCCTACCGAGTAAGAATGCATTTACATAAAAATACCAAAATATGGACCCCTTGGAAGATAGAGTTCTCGCTGCAAATTAGAAAATTAGCTTGCTGGTTTCGTTTTAGGCTCTTGAGTTCTTTGTGGGCATGGGTACTCTGGCAAAATAAAATTTCTGTGAAACTTAACCCCTGACCTTGGAACACTCTGAGGTTGTC